TGCTTCGATGGAGTGTAGGTGACTCTGTTCTTGACTCTCTCCCAGTCTTCTTTGTGACCATTCTCTCCTCCAAAGGAGCTGCAGTTTGAGAGCTGAGCAGTAGGTTTTCTGTCGCCTGGGGGAATTGCAGGGCTCTGGCGAGGCAGTGAGGAGTCTTTGTTCCAACACCTGGGCTCTGCTCTCTTCTGGGATTTAGGTAAATGCTCTACCACATTGTACCTAATTACTGGGTACCTCTCCTGGGATGGGGGCTGTGAGTGGCGTCAGTAACTGGAGCCATTGTTCACTTTCTCCACTTGCACCCATTTTCCCCAGCCCCTTTTCCTACGGTGCTGTCAGGAAGGGGGACTACGGACTCTTCGGTTTTTCTCCCTCCAGTATGGGGCTTTTGGAGATTAGTTTCGGGGGGTGGGGAGCTGAGAAGGGCCATATGCTCTACTCTAGTCCTGAACTGTCTGGGTTTTTATCCTCCTTGTCTGCCAATATTTAATGTTTATCTCATTAAGTTTTGTTCTTTGGTGAAAAACAACTTCTTTCTGATATACTTTTTTTTTTTTTTTTTTTACTTTCGGGGGGAAGGGAAATCTATGTTGCAATTTCATTCTTTTATCTCAACACAGGCACTGTGCCAGATGATCTTTAAGGCCCCTTCCAGCCCAAACTAGATCATAACTCTGATCGAACTAACCAAACTCCGAGTCTCCTGCTTGCCCAAGGAGGAATAGGGCCACCCTCATACAGTGCAGAGCCGGCTCAGTTATCCCGAGGCCTTTACGTCCGGGGGAGGATGCTGCCCTTCTGAGCCTTGAAGGCTCCTGAGCAAGGACCAGGGATGGAGGCCCAGTGTCTGACCAGCCTGGTGCCCATGGGGGAGACTTGAGAGGTGGCTGGCAGGGATCGGCCAGGAGGTGTGCCCACCACAGCTGTAGATGGGCTCAGCTAGGGATTCTGCTCTCTGGCCCCTGGGTGGGGGGGCACAGGCAGTTGGGTTGTGCAGGTGCCCCCAGCTCTGGAGGCCTCTCCTACAACTCAGCCCTTTGGGGGTCTTCTTGAATAAGCTCCTTTTCTCTTGCATCTTGGGCTGGAGTAGCCAGAGCTGCCAGGGGCTGCCTCATAGAGACTGAGAGAGACCCGCCGCCCTTCCTCTGAAGGCCCCACTTCCCTGCCGAGATCTAGCAGGTGTCCCTTCTTGGATGCTCAGTGGAACCCACCCGGAGAGCCCACGGTCTCCGCCGAATTCTCCAGGAGGACCCCAGAGCTCTGCTCGCTCGCTGCCCCACTCTTCACCTGCCTGCCTGCCAGGCTGCTGGGCTGCTGCTGGCCCCTGGGAAACAGGTGGTGCCCTTGTGACCTGAAGCCAGTCCCCACAATTACAGGTTGGCAGGCCCAAAGTCAAAGCGTGCCAGTCATCACGGCAGCCTGCTGGCGGCCAGTCTGTGCCTGGGGCCTTTGTCTTGACCGGCCCAGCCGCACGGGGAGAGGAGTCGCTCCATGAGAGCAGAGGGTTGGCGCTTAGCTCTGCCCCAGTCTCCACGGGCACGTGGGGGGTGTTCGCCTCCCTCCTTACTGCCAGGCCCCGGACTCCATTCCTTGCAGGTCGGAGACCAGTTAGTGCCCAACTGGGAGACTTAGACGGACTGAGGGGAAGACACTGCCCGCTGCACTGCACAGAGGCCGGGCCTTTGTGCGCAGGGGCTTCATCTTCCCTCCTGCTCCTCCCGTGCCACCTGTGCCCGCAGGTGTGCCCAGGGAGAGGTGTGTCCGTGTGTGCCTGTGTGCACGAGTGTGAGGGCACCAGCATGTTCGTGCACATGTGCATGTGTGCACACACGTGATGGGTGTGCTGCCCATATTACGAGACAGCAAATGTGCCCGTGCACACACTAGGCTGTTTTTCACCACGTTCACCCCAACAAGCATGTGCCAGTGTTTACAGGCACTATCTCATTGGTTGGTGCTTTTGCCGCCCATGTTGTAACATTTCAAATGTCAAACATGTTTTCTGCACGTGTACATATTTGTGTTGTATGAGTTTTGTGTGTGCCTTAGGTTACGCGAGTGTCTGTGTGTACATGTGTGGCTGTGCACGTGTGTTGAAGCTCGTGTGCACGTGTGTGAGGGCGAGTGCCTGTGTCACAGTGTGAGCGGGTGTGTGTATGTGTGCCCCCTCTCTGGTCAGGGGTGACTGAGGCCAGGGGTAGTCATCGTCGCTGCCCCGGCTCGATGGGGAAATCCTCTGGAGTCCGAAGTGGAAAAGGCCAGAGGGTGAGGGGCAACACAGTTCTCAGGCTCCAGCCAGCGTTCCCAGGCCCTGTGGCCCAGGGGGACTGAGCCAGGGTGCAGGGGAGCGTGCACAGGCGCTAAGGGGACGAGGGCAGAATCAGATTTCCCGTTTGGAAGTCCCCTCCAGGGCTGGGGGGGTGCTGTGGGGCCTGGGAAACTGGTAAGAAGGACAGAGAAGGGGAGGCCCGGACCGGGCCAGCAGCAATGGAAGGGAGGAGCGGGCTGGCTGGAGGGACAGTCAGGATGCAGAATGGACAGGAGTCAGTGACTGGAGGGCTGTGGGGGGGAGCCAGGCACACAGGAGCTGCTGACTCCCCTGCCCTGCGTTTGGCCCCAGCGACGCTACTACAGGCTGTCCCAGAGAGGCAGCTTTGGCAGCTTGCTGGCAGGAGGTCTGTGCCTGGGGCCTGCGTCCCGGCTGGCTCAGCCACAGTAAGGACAGAGATGTGGGGGGACAGTGAGAGGTGCCTGCGGCCGTCCAGGAGAGGGTGCCCAGGAGGTGCCCGGTACAGTGGGTCTGAAGCAACCTTGCAGGCAAAGCTTTAAACAGGTGGCTAGATTCTTCACGGTGACTTTATTTCCAGCACAGCCCCTTTGGTTAGTTTGTTTCATTTGTAATTGAGGGACTCCAGTCTGAATTGGTCAGGGAAGCCACTGAACTTAAGACCCAATTTGCATGCAGCCCATGGGGAACACAAGGAGTGCCTACTGCTGGGTGAGGATCCTGGCTTTGGATGCACAGGCTGTTGGTGCTGGAGGCGCCTGTCAGAGCATCGCCACCGGATTGTCATGTCATATGATTGGGGAAACCAAGGCCCAGAGGGTGGTGACCTCCCCAGGGCAGCCCAGTATGGCGGGGGGGGGGGGGGGGGGGGGGGGGGGCAGGTCTGTCCACCCCTGGGGGTCACACCCCTTCGTTGGAGAGCCCCTCCCTGAGCAGCCATCTCAGGAGACTCTGTAATTATGGGGTCGGGAGGCTGCCTCTCCCCATTCAGGCCTTCGGCCCCTCAAAACTGCTGTGTGGTGGTGAGGATTTGGTGGCGTGGGGCCGGTTTCCAGGTGTGTCTGGGGAAACCTGGCATCCTCAGGCGGCTTGTTTTGCCTGAATGGCCCCATTGTGGCTGCAGTCTCCCTTTGATCAGCTCTATTTTGGGGTCAGGATCCACCCTGCCCCAGCCAGAGGAAGGAAAAGGTGTATTTCAGTGTGTGCTGGGGGTGGGAGGAAGCAGCACCAGCGGAGAGCTCAGTCGGTCCCCAGTCCCCGTGGCTGGCGCCCCATGGTTTGGGGGGAAGGCAGTAACAAACTGAAGGTGTAAAGAGGGGAGGGCCTGGCAGTCCAGGTGGAAGTGGCTGGAATGTGAGGGGAGGGTGGGTGCGAGCGCAGTCCAAGCTTTCTCATGGCCTCAGGAGGCTTGGAATATGGGTCTGGGGCCTGCCTGGGCCTCACCTGAGACCTACCTGCCAGCAGGTCTGATTCCCACCCCTGTGGGTGCTCGGCCGCTGTCCTAGGCCCAGAGAGAAAACTGCCCGGCCCTCAAAGGTTCCCAAGTTCGAGCTCAGAGGGCCAGGGACTGGTCAGGCTGAGAGAACACACACAGCTGCCCTCCCTCCCCCACACAGGCCACGTTTCTGCCCTGTCCAGCACAGTGGCTGCATTTCAGCCTTTTCCCCTCTGTTCTCATGGGTCCTCTGCCGGCACTGCCACGGGGCTCTTCCAGCCCATCCTGATCCTGCCCATCCTTCAGGGCTTTCCTTAGTACCACCTGCACTGGGAGGCCCATCCCATCCTCCGTTTTCCTCTGGCTTCCCTCCTGCCTGCGTCCCTGGACACTGTGGCTGCTGAGGCATCTATGGAGACTCCCCCTGCCCCCGCACCAGCTTACCGTCACTCACCTTGCCCAGGGCTAGTCACCAGGGTGAGGGGCTTACCAGAAAGTGGCTTGGTGTATGATCTTGGGCTTGAGTCTCCTCATCTGTGAAATGGGTGTAATGGTATCTACCTCCTGAGGTGCTAAGAGGTTAGACGGGTGACCAGATTGGACATGCTTGGCACAGAATAGGTGTGCAGGTGGTGTTCCCTCGGTTCCTCTGCCCTGGGTGCGTGGGCCTTAGGGAGCTAGAGCCTGGGCTGCCCGGGGCACAGCCCCGTGATTCCAGGAATGACTAAGACATTTTTTTCCTCCTCTTTGCTGCTTCATTAAATTCTTCTTGAGTGAGTGGAACGAGGATTGTCCTAATCCTCTGGCATGAGGAGGAGGGTTCAGGGAGCTGAAAGAGACAGGCCCCAAGTGGCCTCCAGTTACCGACAGACATCGGGGTAGGGAGGGGGCCGCACAGTAGGCACAGGCCTTAGGGGAACACAGGAATGATGAGCTTTTCTCTTCTCCGGGCCTGCTTCCCTACCTTTAAATGTGGCCCGGATGTCCTGGCTGCCTCCTACTGGGGCCCTGTGGGTGACCTCAAGCCCTGAACCCTGGGGGCTCTCCACCAGGGACAGTGCTGTTCCCAGGCTCAGGGCCGGCACTGTCCTCTGGGTTGTGGCTGCCGGCTGCCCCGGGAAAGTGTTCGCCCGCCCTGAACTGCCGGCCCAGTACGTCTTACCGGGGCCTTCCTCTGTGCAGTCCCGGCATCCCCATCCACCGTGTGGGGGGACATCGCTTGGAGGGGTCAGAGGTTGAGGCCCAGGGAGCCTCACCCCTGCTGCCCTCTCTCAACAGGTGTTCCTGGCCCTTGGGGAGCTGTTTCTGTCCTGCAACTGGGCGGTGGTTGCTGATATCCTGCTGGTAGGTGGGGGGAGGGTTGGAGTGGGGGGCTGGTCCTGGGGCCTTTTGAGCAGGGGGTGCTGGAGTCCGTCTAGCTCGAGGCTGGAGTTCTGCTATTTGGTGGCCTAGAAGTTGGGAGGGAGACCCTGGGGTCAGGGATCAAGGTCATTGAATAGTTGCCTTGGGCCACGGGCCTCCCTGACACTCCTAAATATCTCCTCTGACTTTCACCCCCATTTTGCAGATGAGCAAATGGAGGCTCAGAGAGGGCAGGTGCCTGGACAAAGGACACACAGCATGCAAAGGCACTGAGCCAGAACTGGAGCTTTTTGATTCCAGGGCTCCCTCCTTCCCACCCTCTTTCTTGACTCCACTTCTTCTCAGCAAGTGGGCCCCTTGGCCTCTACTCTGGGTGTATAGGCGGGGATGCCTGACTTTAGGGTTAAAGCTGCTGAGCCCAGGTGGATCCAGTCTGTACCAACTGCTGCGTCCTGGGCTGTAATGAGGCCTGTTGCTCTCCTGACCACATGACTCTGTTAGGTCCAGAGTCCAGCCTCCCTTCCTCCTTCTAGGAGACATGAAGGAAGGACTTTGAATACAGAAGGGCTGTGCCTTTGCAGATAACACAGAGTCCCAGACCTCAGAGCAACCCAAGAGCCCTCCTCCTGCCTTCTGGCAGCCTGGCAGCAGTGCGAGCCAAGGGAATTGGAGCAGCTTGGCAATTGGCTGAGGCCGGGCCTGAGGATGGTGTGGCAGGGCACGAACTTGGATTCAGGAAACAGACCTGAGTTTCAGCCTGCTTTTGTCACCTCAGCAAGTCACTTGGTGTTTCTGAGCCTCAGTTTCCCTGTGTGGCAAACGAGGATGGAAATGCCTTATGGGTTATTGTGAGGGTGAAATGAGATGACACGTGTGAAGCTGCGGCCCAGCGGCTGGCACAGATAGTGCTGGCTGCGATTCCAAAAGCAACGCAGAGGTTCCCGCTTCCTCGTTTTCCATTTCCCAGAGATACCCTGGTGTCCTAGAATCTGAGTTTGAAAGGGCCGTGGGGAAATGCAGTCGTTCAGTTAGCCAGCAAGGCCTGCTTGGATACCACTGTTGAAGGGACGCTCACCTTCTGCCCAGATGTTCTGTCTCCTCCCCATGGCTCAGCGGGCCCTGTAGACCGGCCTGCCCTGCCTTCGACTTCTGGGTGGGTGTTTCGGCTGCAGGGCTGGCAGGGCTTCTCTCCTCCTCCCTCCAGGCAGGAGACTTGGGTTCATGCCCAAACTCGGCTACAGACCTGCTGAATGGCCTTTGGGCCTCAGTTTCCTTGTCTCTGAAAAGGGAATAATTATACTGGCCTGGCAGGGTAAGCAAGAGAGACTACAGGAAAGCCCTGGGTCAAGGGGAAGGCAGGAAAGTGCTGGCAAACGTTTGCTCTGTAGACGTGCCCACTCTGAGGCGCCGGGAGTTACCCCCTGGCTCCGACATAGCTGTTCTCCCAGGCAGTTGAGGTCGAGCCGAAACCTGCCCCCGCCCCCCACAGCTTCCTCCGCCTGCCCCCCACTGCACTGTTCCCTTTTCCACGTGACAGCACCACAAATATGCGAAGCCTGCGCTTATGTTTCCCCCAGTGTCTGTGTTTGCAAGAATGATTAACCTGGCCAAGCCAGGTCCTTTGTAGAGCACTGTGTGTGTTGGGGGTAGTGGCAGCTGGGCAGCACGGGGGGGGGGAGGCGTGAGGAGGAGGGCCAAGAGGCTGTTCAGCCACACTTGACCCATCCAGCTCTGCTGGGGAGCTGGCTGGAGCTGCCCCACGGGGGTGCAGCTGGCCATAATCCAGACCACCTGGGGTTCCCAGGCTCCTCCCCTGGATCGGAGGCCTCCAGCTCCCAAAGCTTAGCAGGACCCACCACCCCAGGAAGACTTCATGCCTTTTCCTGCCTTCCTAAAGCCCCTTAGCAAAAGATTGCCATTGGACCCTTTGTTGGTGGGAACTGGACCTTGCAGTCCTTGGAGCTCAGTCCCCTGGCAGCGACAGGGGACACACAAAGAGAGAGTGGCCTCAGGGCAAACGCAGGTGAGGCTCAGTTCCCTAGCAGGCTGCGGGGACCCAGTCTGTGGAGTGGAGGGCCAGACGCCAGTGGGAGCAGGGTGAGGAAGGAGTGGGCGGTGAAGAAGGAGACCTGGAGTGCAGACAAGAAGCTGTGCCCAAGGAGAGAGGACAGGAGCTGGAGTTGGCTGTGGATTCTGGGAAGAGGGTGTTACTTTTCCAGAGATGAGGCAGGAGCGGCATCCTGAGCCAGGGAGGGAAGAAGGTGGAGTGAGGGCCAGTAGTGGTCGGGGGGGTGCTGGTGGGAAGCAGCCTGGAGAAGGGCAGGGACAGGAAGTGTGTGAGGACATGGGTGTGGCAGGAAGTGTGGCAGGGTCCCATCTTGCTCCTCAGGCACAGGGGGTCTCATTGGGCGAAACCCAGGGAGTGAGGAAGCTGTGAGGGCAGGTTAGCTAATACCTGCTCCCTGCATCGTGAATGTTCCCGAGGGCTCCACTGGCCTGTGGTTCAGTCCTGCCTCAGAAGCACTGCTGTCTTTGGTCTGTACACCCACAACTAAGAGAAGCCAGATTCACTCCGGTCCAGTGGTTCTCGAAGTTTATTGGTTCAGGTTTGGGGAGCTTGTTGAAAACTCAGATTCCAGGCTCTTTATCCTCAGAATCTGATTTAGTGAGCCTGTGCTGGGCCCAGGGATCTGTCTTTCCAATGAAATTTCCGTGTGATCCTAATACAGATGAGCCTCCGGTCGGAGACTGCTGGTCTGGTGCAGCCAGCTCCTCGGTCCCTGAACCATTCTGGCTCGTGCCGTCCCTCTCCTGGGTCACACAGCTGCTCAGGCAGGGGGCTCCCTCCCCGAACCCTGGGGAGCCCCTGTCTCCTGGAGGCTCTGTTGATGAAAATTTGGCTCCATCGCGGCCAAGTCCCACCTCAGACCCACCCAGGCAAGCTCCCCCTAGCTCAACTGGGCTCCCTGGAAGGCTGACGTTTTGTGTCCTCAGGTTGAGCTTCCTGCCTCCCTAAACCTACTGATGGAGTGGCCAGCTCCCTCCTAACCCTCCTGTCCGCCTGGGCCACACTCGGGGTGGCCCAGAGTCCGCTGGCTCCACTCCAGCAGTGGGGAGTAGAGCAGAAGGGGGGCTTCCCCCTCCCGGGTTTGTCCTCCGAGGCTCTGGAACCCCATCAGGCTCATCTCCCCTCCTCAGCAGATTTGCCCCTCACCCCGGGGGGTTAACACCTTCCTGTTCTGCTGACCCCATCTCAGTGCTTTCCTGCTCTGCCTCCTGCCCCCCAGGTAGCTGTCCACTCACACCCCCAGGGCCGTAAGGGCTGAGTGGGGAGCCCGGGAGGCAGACTGCTGGGGAGTCTGCACCAGGTGTTTGCCACTGTGAATTCTGCAGGCCCTTGGTTGGCTCTGGTTAGACCCCAGGCTATAAAGGGAACAGCTCTTTTAAGAAGGGAGAATAAAAAGAACAGCGGTGTATTTGTCTCAGAATAGAGCAAGCCTGGGTTTTGGGAACCCAAAAGCCTCTTACTTCTAAAATTACCAGCTGGGCTCTCCGGCTGCTGGCAGGCCCAGCCCTGGCCCTTTGCACGTATGGAGACAGTGGGGACCCTGAGTATGCTGGGGGAGACCTACCTCTCTCACCACTCCCAGCGGCGGCTTGGCTGGGGCCCAGCTGGCTGGGGTCCCTGAGAGAGGAGGATAGGGCCGGCTCTCCCAGCTTGCTGGACCTCACTCTGAGGGTCCAAGCAGCCCTGGCCCCCGAATGGACTTTTTTGGACCCTTAGAGCCCCGCCTCTAGGAGTCCCTGCCCTTTTCCCCCAAACTCCTAGTGAGTAATCGCATAATTATGGGGTGAGGAGGAAGCACTTGGGGAAGGTGCAGCGCTGTGGTCATTTCCTTCTCCGGCCTGTTGGCGGGTGCGGTGGTGGGTGGGCCCAGCTTTCTCAGCACCTGGAAAGAGTGGCTCAGCACCCGTGACCCCGGGACTGGCCGGTCACCCACCAGAGTGACCCCTGTTACTCTGTCTTGCCCACCCACAAGGCCCCTCTCACCAGCCCCCCTGTGGCTCCCTGGCCCTGGCCTCTGGCGCATCTTTGCTCTCACTGTCCCTGGCTGGAAAACCCCCTTCCCTAGTCTCTCTGCAGTTACCTGTTTGCAGGGCTTGGGAGGAACTTGTCCTTTTTATCCTTCTCTCCATTTCCCAAATGTTCTAGAACACACACATGGACATTGCTGGAAATATTCCTCCTTGCTCATACAGCAGAGCTGTCCAAAGGCCAGGCCCCGGAGGGAGAAGGCCTGGGATGGAGCTCAGCCTGCCGCTTCCTGGCCGGGCGATCCGGAGCAAGTTACTTACCTTCCCGGTGGAGGGTTTCCTCATCGATGAAATGTGGATAATAACCATTTCTCCCTCGTAGCTTGGTTGAATAGATATATTTATATATATAATATAAAATGCATATAAATTATATAAAATATAAACATACAGAATATAAAATAATGTTGGGAACTATTTTAATTATTATTACTCTCTAATAATAGAGAGGAATAGGGCTCAGATTAGGGACACCTTATGTCAGGAAGCTCCCCTGTGGCTGTCGGGGAGCTTGGGAAGTGTGGCTTCTGCTGGAAGCTCCTTCCTCCACACCTGCGCCCCGCCCACCCCGTCCTGGGTCGCTGGGTTCTGACCAGGTGTTTCCTGGGACCAGTCCCCCAGACAGTTCTACTCAATCTATTTAGCTGTCCAACTTTCAGCTGGCCTCCTCCGTGCCTGGTGCCTTGCCGCACCCCAGGGACCCCAAGAGAAATCAGCTTTGCTGCCCAGACAAGTGTAGGGGTGAGGGGAGGTGGACAGAGAAGGACCCGCCCCAACACGGGGGCTGTGCACACAGAAGGGCTGTGGGACCTCAGGGCAGGTCCCTGAGCTCTGAGAAGGCTTCTCAGAGGAGGCGGCCCAAAGGTCAGTCCTGAAGGACAAATAAGGATGCTCCAGCGGGACCAGAGAGGGCAGGCTGGCCAGACAGAAGGCACAGCATGCTCCAGAGCCCACAAGCATCATGGGATGTTTTTCCATCCGATGTCGCCAGAAGCCTCCAGGCACAATGAACATAACCTTCTTCTTTTTTCTTTTGCGTGTCCTAGGATAGAATGGACCACCTCAGTAGCTCCTGAAGCCAATACATTTCTATCACCACAATTACTTTAGCAAACCTGAACATAACCTTCTATGTAGGTACCACTGTTATCCTTATTTGGGGCTGAGGAGAATGAGGCACAGAAAGGTGAAGCAACTTGCCCAAAGTCACACAGCCAGTGAGTGGGGGATCTGGGACTGGAACCCAGACATTCTGACTCCAGAATTTGTATTTTTAACCTCTCTATCCTCCTCTGTGGAGTTACGTGAACCTTTCCAGCAAGGCTGCCTTTAGTCTCTGCTAAATGGGGCTTGAAGTTCCCTAGAGAAGGACTGAGTTGTCCGAACTCTCCTGCCCACGTGCCCACACACGCAGGCTCCTGGGTGCGTACCCACTCTTCACCCCGCCAGCCTGCACTACTGCCTCCTAAGTCTGTGATCTGCAAGGCCTCAGCCCCATCTCTGTTGTCACAGCCATGCCCTGTCCCTGATGAGTTTGAGAGCAAACCCTCAAGGAGGGCGGCCTAGTCAGGGGCATCGGCACCCCCATCCTGGAGGGTGGGGGGTCTTCCCATCCTCCGGGTGGGGCCTGATAGCTGGTGCTGGGGCTTCAGGCACTGAGATCACGGACTCCCTCTTATCCGATGCTCTTGGCATGCCTGTCCCACCTGCAGGCAGGTTCTTGGCAAGTGGGGAGCAGGGGGTGGGGGGCATCCTCTCGCTGCCCTCACCTGGGGAGCTCCCCTGGTGCTCCTGTGTTTTTCAGTCAGTGGTGGTGCCCAGATGCCGGGGGACAGCAGAGGCGCTTCAGATCACAGTTGGCCACATCCTGGGCGACGCCGGCAGCCCCTACCTTATTGGACTTGTAAGGCTGGGTGGGTGGGTGGCTGCAGTCATGCTTGAGTGTGTGTGAGGTGGGGCGGGGCTTGGGGAGGAACTGCACACGGTGAGGCCCGCAGGTTGGCCTGGCAGACCCAGCCTCCCTCCCCTGCAGATCTCCAGCGCTCTGCGGGCCAGGTACCCTGACTCCTACCTGCAGCGCTTCCTCAGCCTTCAGAAGAGCTTCCTGTGCTGTGCCTTTGTCATTGCCCTCGGAGGCGGCTGCTTCCTGCTGACGGCACTGCACCTGGAGAGAGACCAGGCCGAGGCCCAGCAGCCTGGCACAGGTAACCCCACCCCTCACACCCATGCCAGGTCCAGGCTGAACCCCACAGAAGCAAGGAGAACTGGCCACCCCCGAGCCCCTGGCCCATTTATTTATCTGTTCATTCATGCATTCAAAAATAGTTCTTATGCTCTTACCATGTGCCAGGCAAGGTTGCAGATGCTGGGGAAAGAATGCCACATCCAAGCTCCCATGGAGCTGACACTCTAGAAGGCAGAGGCATTCATGAAACAAACAAACAAAAGCAAAAGTTAGAGTATGTTTCAGGTGGTGGGTGCTATGGAGAGACATAAAGCAAAGATTTGGAGGAGGGGAAGGGGGAAGCCGTGTAGCTCTCTGTGGGGGGAGCAGCTCCTAAAGAGGCCCTGAGGTGAGACCGTGTTTGAGGGCTGGCAAGGAGGCTAGCAGGGCTGGAGTGGCAGTGAGGGAAAAGGGACGAGGTGGGCAGTAGCGGGGCCGGGGCACTGGGGGCTTCGAGGGGCCCTGGCTAGAACTGTGGCCTTAGCTCTGAGATGGGAGCCCTGTGGGGTTTCTTGCAAATGAGCCCTAAGGCAACTGGTTTACCCTGCAAAAGCACCACTCTGGCTGCTCTGTTGGGAACAGACTGCCGTGGCTTGAGGTCCAGGCAGAGAGGCCATAGGAAGCTCTGCACGATCAGGGGGAGCCACGGGGTGGGGCCATGACAGTGGCACTGAAGAAGGGGTTGGATCTGGAATTAATCTGGAAAATGGAAACCAGAGGATTTCCTGACAGACTGTGCCCAGGGCTGGTCCCAAGCCCCTTTTGCCGCCTCTGGGACTGGCCGAGCTGCTTTCCTCCCGCAGGGACCCTGGACAGCGAAAACATAGAGAGCCAACACCTGCTTTCCGGCACAGGGACCTCCACAGAGGACTTCTGAGGGCCCTGCCCTGCAGCCAGGAGGTCCCGTCCGCCCTGCCTGCAACCCTCCTGCTGGCCTCCATGGTGTCAGTGCCTCTGCTCGCCTTTGGCTGTGGCTCAGCGGCTCCGGCCGAGCTGCACCTGCCACAGCTCCGCGCCCAGCTAGGGAGCTGGCAGTGCCTGTGGTAGGGCTGGGAATTGAGCGATCAGCACCCTCCGTGGGAGGCCTGGGCCCGTGCCTGCACCCAGCACGAGGCTGCTGCGGCCTGAGGTTCTCAGTCTGTCTGCCAGTGGGCCCTGATTAAAGTAAAGCTGGTACAAAGTTCATGGATTTCAGGCCTTTGGACAATTTTGTTATTTATAGTCTCCCTAATACTCTGCTGGAGTGGGAGCAGGAGAGGAAGAAGAGGGCAGTCCTGGCCAAGGAAGCAGGGCTGTCCCTGAAGTGGGGAAACTGAAGGAGCTGCTCAGATGGGTCTCTAGGTGTCCCCTCCCTGGACCTCCCACTGTGACTCAGCTTCCCCACTCTCCAGGGTCAGGCGGGCACTGGACACCCCTCCTAGGGAATTCATCCTTTGAACAAAAAGTGGGGGCCAAATCTGTAGTCTCGGAGATAGAGGTCTACTAGGGCTCTGGGGTGGGGGTGCAGCTTCAAGTGTCAGGGAACTACCAGTGGGAGTGCCCAAGCCCGCCCAGAGCCTGCTGCCCCGAACCACAGCGCTCACACGGCTGTGCCTGAGTGCTCCTGGCTGTGCCTCGCCCTGCGCCCTGGCCCCGCCTCGCCCTGCGCCCTGGCCCCCCACTCCCTGTAGCCCATGCTCTTGCCCTAGCACAGCCCACGGGGAGGGCTGGCTCTGTGGGACTCACACTTGCCACTGGGTTCAGAGCAGCTGGGCACAGCAGGCCCTGCAGGAGATCAACAGCTTCCAGGCGGGCAGCAGTGGGGCGACATGTTCTTTCTGCCTGTGAGCATGAGTTCCTCTCCCCCTCCCCTGGTACCAGGCCAGGCGATCACTTGTTTACTTGCCAGTGGCCCCCTCACTGTGTGCCAGGCTGTGCCTGCCTCCCAGCAGCCGTGGGCAGAGCAGTGACCCAGCCCCATGCTCACCTCCTGACCCTTGCTTGCTCCATCTCTGCCCACTCTGGTGTCCTCCCTGGGTCTACTGATGGGTGGAACAAGCTCCAGGAGCCAGACTCTCCAGCTCAGCCCACGCCTGTTCCCAGAACCAGCCCTCCCTCAGGAGAGGCCATTGCCAGCCAGGTTGACTGGGCCCTCAGCCTACGATTCGACACTTGGAGCTCATGAAAAGGGGGGAGCTGCTATGTTATAAGAAACAGGGTTGATAAGGATATTCAGTAAGAGTTCTGTGCCCAATTACAATGTGTGTGTGTGTGGGGGGGTGGGTCCTACACTACCAAACAATTCTCTGACCCCAGCAGGGTGTCCTGTAATTCAACTCAACTGTGACAGTCTACCCAGAGAGAGTGTCAGATCTTACAGGTTGGGGGTTCAGGCCTACAAGCCTACCACCTCCCAAATTCGGACACCAACCCCAAGTCCAGCTTGGCACCTGTGCTTTGACCAACTGGTTATGAATCAGAGGTTCCCACGACCCCCTCCTTGGGTTCGATTTACCCACTGAAGTAGCTCACAGAACTCAGGATGCTCTCGTACAACTGGGCACAGCCAGGCAGAATGTGCATGGGGCAAGGTGCAGGAAGGGCAGGGAGCTGCCGTGTCCACTCCAGGGGCCACTCTCCCCAGTCACCGTGTGTGCATCAGCCTGAGCCCCCAAGTTCAGACTGTTGGGTTTTTATGGAGGCTTCATTACATAGGCACAATTGGTTAAATTATTGGCCATTGGCGATTGATCTGAACCGCCACACCTTTACCCTCCCCAGAGGCTGGGGGACTGGTGGGGCTCAAAGTTCTAACTCTCTAATCACATGATTGGTTCCCCTGGCAAGCAGCCCCCATCCTTAGGAGGGGTCCAAAAGTCACCTCATTAACAAGACACCTTTAGAGTTCTTATCACTGAGGAAATTCCAAGGGCTTTAGGAAAGCCCTTTAGACTGTGCTAGAAACATACTATAAATCACAATATCACACTTTGTTTCTCCTGAGAAGGAGGTGGCCAGTCTCTGGGCCATGATGCCATGGTCCCTTCAGCATTTACTGGCTATGTGACCTGGGCCCTTTCCTGTCCTCTCTGAGCTGCAGAGTCCCCAGATGTATTTAAGAGGCGTGTTGAGTGTGGCTTTCCCAGCCCAGGCCTTGTGTGGTTCTCATGGTCTGGGTCTAGGCCCCCAGAAACCCAGCAAAGGGTTCTGAACCTTCCTCCCCACAGCTCCTTGAGGCTCGGCTCTTAGAAAAGGGCTCCCCAAGACTCCCAACGCTAGCAGCCCACCCCTCCCCCAGCCCAGAGCCCAGTGGCTGGGGAGAAAGATCAGAAACCTCACTTGTGCCTGTTCCAGAACAGGTGCTGGTATCCGCAGACGCCCATCTTGGTGTCAGGTAGGGAACTAACTCCAGCCCTGCCCTGGACCTCACAGCCCAAGATAACACAGACACTCTGCTAGGTCTAGGGAGGCACACCTTTGGGCAGGGGAGGGGATTACATCCCTCAGAAGTCTTGGCGGGTGGGGGTGGGGTGGCCCAGGAGCTGGCAAATAGCAAGAGAAGGTATGGGGAAGGGAATTCCTAGCAGAAGGAACAGCCCAGGCCACGGTACAGGGGAATGGAGCAGATCTGTGGTGAATCACCGAGGGCCGGGGGTGAATGGAGAGGAAAGTGTGTGAGTGTTTTATGGGATGGAAAGGAGGCAGGGGAGACTGGCTGGGACCAGAGGGCCTCAGATGCCAGCTGAGGAGCTGGGGCTTGAATCCTGTAATCTGGGATAGTCTCTCCCGACTCCAGTACACTCCGGTGTTTGGGTCACTGGACAGGGCAGGTGGTGCTTGCTAGGACCGAGCTAGACAAAATGCTCAGCCAGGAGTGTATAGGATGTGAGGTCTAAAGTGTTTTGAGGCAAGGTGGGAGCTTTGGGGCCGGTGGACTCTGGAGGAGAGAGCAGTACCAGATCAGTCCCCAGGGGGCTGAGGTCACAGGTGTAAGTCTGTGAGAGCTCAGCCACTAGGCCTAGAGCGGGAGTGGCTACCTGAACACACCTGTCTGGCTCAAAGGGCCCTTGCTTTATAATCCCGGTCCCTGATATTCTGGACTTGTTTGTTGGGAATGTCATGAGAGAACATGCTGCTCAGCAGGTTTCGGTCCTCAAGCCTGGCCTGCTCACATAATGTACTAATTGCTCTTTTCAGAAACATGCTGCATTCCAGGTTCCAGGCGTCACGCTGGCAATGCCTATGTGCCTGTCAGTGTGTGTGTGTGCCCGTGCACGCTCACTTCTGCACTGGTGCACGAGCATGTGAGGGTGTGTTTGTGGGGTATTGATAAATGCTCTCCCACCACCCTGACCTCAGGCTTGGAAGGCTGAACACATGCATCGAGGTGATCCCCCAACCCTGACTTTTTCCCCTGCAGCACCAGACACCAGGCTGTCTGTTTTATTCCCTGAAGTGTCTATCTTTCCTCCATGCCTGGTGGGCCTGGGAGGTTGTTTGGTTTAATGAAAGGGCTGTCAGGAGGCAGCAGAGGTATGTGACTGCAGCTGCTCCTTCTGTGTGGCCTTATCTGTTAGAGTTGTAGGGTTGTGTGCCACAGAAATTGACTATCTTAAGTGAGAAAGAAATTTGTTGGAAACATATCAGAAGTTCATAGAATCCATGCAAAAACTGGAGATTCAGGAGCCAGGGTTTCTTGGGACCTCTTACTGGGGGGCCTTCCCCAAGCTCCAGACAATTTTTTCCTATTTCTTTTGCCACCCTACTCAAGACTTCAAACACTGGGCGAGAGGGTCTCGTTGGATCCTGTCCCATGCCTTGACTTATAACTCCATTAAGACCAGGAAACCAGGGTGCTATTAGGAAAGGGTATGGACTCTGAGCATCAGAGCAAGACAGCAGTGAAAGGGAAAAAAAGGCCAGAAAAAAACAAAACAAAACAAAACCAAAGCAAAGATGGCGTTCATTACAATGATCTTGGGCAGGCCACTGGTCCTCTGGCAGATGCATCTTCTCCATGGGAAAGGGGAGAGGCTGCACTCAATGTCCTTCAAGGGGTTCTTTATTTCTGATGGTCTGAGGCCATGATCAAAGGAGGCTGAAGCTTCTATAGTTTAGAAAGTGTTAAAAATGTCCAAATGACAAAACAGAAATGTCTGTTCATGGGGACTCAGAGCCATCTGTTCTGAGCAGGAGAGCGAGGCAGAGATGAAGCATTCTGAACAAAATTTGTGAGGCAGGCCTGGGCGGGGAGATGCAGGGTCTCCAACAAATCCCAGCCTGGCAACACCAGGAGCAGAGGGGAGGTGCCTGTGGGGTGGTGACCTGTGGAGAAGGCAATCAAAGGGTGGACGCAAATGGCATGTGGAAGCTAATGGAGGGTGGAGTCAATTAGGGAGAAAATGCCTTTTCCAGAGGGGCTGGGAGAGGAATCTGGCTGGTTTCTGAGTCACTCAGAGCAACAGACACATACACACGATACAAATCAACACATACTTCCCGAGCACCTACTAAATGTCATTTACTCATTCAACCAACAAACATTCTCCGAACACCTCCTCTGTACTGGTTTGCAGAGATGAATCAGACAGGGTATGGGCCCTCCAGGCTCACAGTCTATTGTGGTGTGGATGTGTGTGGGGGTGGAGGGGGAACTCCTGTACAAACATAGCACAGTGTGATTGGTGTAATGAAGGGATACACAGGTGGACCAGAGGACGAAATGACATTTGTTCAGGTGACTCAGAGAGGGCTTCCTGGAGGAGGTCATGTGTGTGCTGGGTTTCTATAGGACAGGTGGGAGGAGGGAACGAGGTAGAAAGCGTAGGCAGAGCGTGACTGAAGAGCCTGGGGTGAGGGCGTGGCCCATATGACGCTCTCCGTGGTACTGAACAATTATAGCATTAGTAGCACAAGGGCTTTTGTGTAGAGGGGGGAGCAGGAAATAATGAGGTCTGTACAGAAGGTATTCAGCCATGTAATATGAAAAATAGAGACATCTATTAAAGAATATACAGGATACAAGAAACATGGTACTTAGGACAATGACACCTCAGTCCCCTTCAAAGTAGGCACCTTGGGACCTCACACAGTTCTTCCAAATGCCATCAGCTACTCTGTGGTATTTGTCTGAATCTCATTGAGGGTCTAAAATCTCTTCCCTTTCAAAGGTGACTGTAGTTTTTGGAAAAGCCAGAAGTCAAAAGGCACCCAATCTGGGCTGTAGGGGGGCTGAGTCACCTGGGTGATTTGATGTTTCTCAAAAAAACTCAGCACAAGACATGACGCATGAGTGGAATATTGTTGTGATGAAGCTGTCAATCACCAGTTGCCTAAAAACATGCCTTCTGAATCATCTGAATAGTTTCTGCGGAGGAATGTTTCAGGTTAATGCAAAATTTGATGCAGATTAATTGATCTACTTGTTTGGTCATTTTGAATGTGATGGCCACACAGTACACATACTCATTCAATGGCAACTACCGCCCCCACTGACCAGTACAGTGTCATTATTCACACATGGGCAGTCCAGTCCACTCTCCTTGGCTGCCAGGTTACACTGATGTTGTGCAAACTGTCCTCATCGTATTAACAATGGCTGGACTTTTTCCAAACAGGCCTCACACACATGAGTGCCCCCAATTCCTGCCACTCCTCTAGGTTCCAGGAAGTATAACAACTGTGAGTGAGTTTAGGGAGCTCAGTTTTCACTGTGGTGGAATGTAATTTTGAGAGATGAGCAGTACCTGAGGCTGGAGATTGGCATGGGTCATAAAGAGTTATGAAGGGTCTTGGAGATCATGTTAAGGAACTTAGATACTTTTAATCCTGTAGGCAGCAAGGAGCCATGGAAATGTTTTGTACAAGGTAGAGATGGGGTCATATGTATGATTTAGAAAATTGCTGGCAAGAAATATGGAGAAAGACTGGAGGGGGATGTTGGGGCATGTGGTGTTGAGCTTTAAAAGGGTGAGACTGAGAGGTTTGTACTAAGTCGGTAAGCAATGGGGACGTTGGGAGATATTAAAGAAAAAATGGACAGGACCTAGGCATAGGAGTCGAGAGAGAAGAAGGAGCCCCAAATGGCTCCCTGCTAGGTGACAATGTGGATGATGGTGCTATTTGTCAAGGGATAAATGATTCTGGGGGAGAGAGATTTAGGGGAAAGATGAGGAGTTCCATTTTGGATGTGCAGAGTTCAAAGTGCTATGGGATGTCTAGGAGAGAGTGTGCAGAAGACTGCATATGGACCTAGTGCTTGGAGATGAGGCCGTGTCCTGAAATGGAGACTGGTGTGTCGCAGACAAGGGACAATTGCTGAGAACTCATGCGCAGGTGAGAGGCTGCCAAGGGAGAAGGGAAGAGACAGGCCCGAGCCCTGGAAACACTCTCATGTAGGAGGATGAGTAGATGAGAGGTGGACCGAGCTTCCACTTAACAGCCTTGGGGGAGCTGGTGTTCTTCAGACTGTGTTCTGCAAAGCTCTAGTCATCTTACAAGATGCTCTGTGGTCTAGCACACACGGGGCCATGGCAGCCTATACCTCCCCCTGGGAGACTTATAGTGTACACTCTCAGATTAAAGGCTCTGAAAAGTCCCTCAGTAAGGAAATCTACTTCTCTGTGTTTACCCCACCATTTTCCAAATGTGCTTCCCCTTGGAATACTGGTCACTAATGTCCTGTGCCCCATTTGTTTTGAAGTTATGGTCTAGACCTAATGAATGACTATCAGAAGGTCCTTGCACCATCATTGAGTTCAGCCTCACATTATGCCAATGAGCAAACTGAGGCTTGAAGAAGTTAAGAGCAGCATCGTGGGTCAGCAGATAAAATGCTGGCTTGGGGGTAGACACACCCGGGCTTAGTGCGAGCCTCATCGTTTACTACGTATGTGATCTTGGGCAGGTTGGTTCTTTTCCCTGGAACTCTGTTTCTTCTTTGGTCCTATGGAAGTAAGAACCTTAGCTGTCCTATGACCAGTGGTCCTGTGAGACTGCTAGAGGCTGTCAGGAGGCCCTTGTAACTTTCCTAGGACCACACAGCCAGAAAGGGCTGTGGTTGAAAAGATGAGGAGTGTGGGGGAGTGGGAAGGGCCCTTTAAGGCTAGGCTTAGAGTCATGGTTATGCCTCCTTCACAGTGGGACATCGTCTCACAGCCAGACCCTGCTGTAGCTGGCACCGTCACACATGAGAGCCATTGCCAGGGCCCAGCCCCAGCCCCATGGAGCTCTTGGGTCCGTCTTTGCCTTTTAGTCACTCATTACCCTAGGCCACCCATTGGAGCTTCTCCTGTCTGGCTAGGCAGGCTTGAGCTCAGCAAGCTGGAAAGAGGCAGCAAGGCAACTTTCAGAATGAAATCTGCTTTTCTAACCCTTCCGTCACAGCCATTCATACTCAACACGCCGAAGCCTATTTTTAGTCACCTCGTAGAATTTAAAATATACCTCAAGGGCGCCAAAACCCACCAGCTTGGGGATTAACTCTGCTCACAAGAGACAGTGGGGCGGGTGTGTGTGTGGGGGATGTCTCGTGCTGTGCCACTCATTTGCCATGTCATAACTCACTGTAGCCAACGCCCTGCCCATGGGCTTTGGGTCTGGAGGAGCCTGTAGTAGGAGCTGAGTCCCAACCCAGGGGTTTGGTACCAGACACATGGGTCATCACCATCCCTGCCACTGACTAGCCATATATCCATGATGGGGTTGCTTCTGGGGCCTGAGACCTGTCTTTGAAACACAGGGAATAATTCTGGTTTCCCAGGTTCTGTCTAGTCTCATATCATTCTGTCTTCAGTGCTTCGTTTGTACAGGATTTTCATTTCCATCAAAGCCTCAAACAGGTGAGTGAGGTGAGGGGGGTGGGGCACGGAACCGCAGCGCCTCTGAGACAGTGAGAGTGCTGACCGGTTCCGAACAGGAAGCTGCCCCTGGGAGACAGAACTCCTCCCTCCACTAACCACTTACTGACTTCCAGATTGTCTGCATCTTATCCTCCTACCTACCCCGGAGAGAAAAACTGAGACCCAGAGAGAAGAGTTAGGGCTCTAGTCCAGGGCCATGTCTCCTTCTGGGGCAAAGCGGGGCAAGGACCAGCCTCCTGTCTTCCATTCAGCTTTGTCCCTTACCTAGTGCACAGCTGGAAGCCTGAGGCTTGGGGATGTCACACCCTCAGAAGAGGAGGCCCCTTCTTAATGGCTTGTTTCTAGTGGGCTCCATTTAGTGCCCCAGCTCTCCCTGCCAGGGGCTGCCTGTCTATGAGACAGGGATAGGGTCTCAGTGCACACACGGGAAGGGGCCCAGGGAGAGCTCCCGTTGGAAGCTGATCTGGGCTTCCCTGGAGAGGTTGCCAACATAATCTTCTGTGTCTCTTGTAGTCCTGGGACCCAGGCACCCGGGTCACGCTTCTTGGTTCTTACGCAGCTCTCCCTGAATTGATTAAATCAGGGCGGGTGAACAACGACTAGAGCAGCCACGGGTTTTTCTACTGGAGCCCGAGACTTAACTGAGACGCTCTCTCCAGGAGGTGTATGTGCCTTGAGCTCGAGCCTTCTGCTGTCTCCCAGAGTCTCAGCCAAGAGCCCACTCTCGTGTTAGGGAGTGGCGGGGGGAGGGCATTGAGTTGGGTAGTGGGGAGTCCTTCCCGCACCCTGTTACTAGCTCCGTAGCTCCCACAAACCTCCTCCGGGTCCCAGTCCACCTCCACGGTCGCGCGGCTTCGGCGTGACTGCGCCCCCGTCGGGCAGAAGGGACTCTGCGGCTCCGCACCCCACCTCCCCGCCCCGGCCCCGCCACCTCCCACCACCCACCCCCCGGGGCAGCACGTGCGGGGCGGAGTTGTGGCTCTAACTTGGAGCTGATTGGGCGAGGCCTCGTGGGCGGAGCCGGACCTCAGCTGTCAGAGCCGCGGCGGCGAAGGCGCACGGTGCAGAACCTTCGCTGCGCTGCACCCGGGGCTGAAGAGCAGGAGCCGACGGGGCAGGGTCGGGATGGTGCAGCGGCGGCTCCGCGGCGCACACGCGCACTGAGTGGGCCCAAGCTGGGCCGCGCGCCCCCCGCGCCCCCCGCCGCCGCGATCCCGGCCGGCATGATGTGCCTGGAATGCGCCTCAGCGGCGGCGGGCGGCGCGGAGGAGGAGGAGGCGGACGCCGAGCGGCGCCGGCGCCGGGGGGCGCAGCTAGGGGTCAGCGGAGCCGGTTGCTGCGGGGCGCGGGCAGCGAGCGCTGCTGGAGTCGCGGCCGCCGACGATGAGGTGCAGACGCTGTCGGGGAGCGTGAGGCGGGCCCCGTCGGGACCTCCAAGCACCCCCAGCACCACCAGCTGCGCAGCCGCTGCCAAGGGCCCAGGCGCGCAGCAGCCCAAACCCGCCAGCTTGGGCCGCAGGCGAGGGGCAGCCGCCGCCATCCTCAGCTTGGGCAACGTGCTCAACTACCTGGACAGGTACACCGTAGTAGGTGAGCTAGTGCCCCACCCAGCCCAACAACCAGGACCCCCCGCCTCGAGGTACCCCGGGGAGCCTTTGGTCCAGACCCTCTATATCCAAGCCTACGTAGGGTCCCTAAGGGTTCTCATTTCAGGTACGGCTGGGCAAGTGATGCCCGGCGATCCGCGGGTCCAATCCAGGGACCGACCCCCACCCGGGGCCAGGGGTTGGGGGCGTCCCCACCCCTGGAATAGCCCACGCGTCCTCGCTAGCCCTTGACGTCCCATCCGTTGTCCTCTTTTCCAAGAGTCTCCTCTATGTTTCTCAGCCTTCTCGCCTCTGCGCCCCCTTCCGCCCCCGCCTCAGATTTTCGGGCCTCTCCTCCCCTTCCCCCCAGCCTAGGCGTTCTGTGGGTCCGTAGCCGGTCAGTTCCTTCCTTCCTCCGCCGCCTCCACTCCCCTTGCGTCCCTGCGGCGAGTGCGCGCGCCCCTTGCGGGTGTGCGCTAGGGGAGACCAAACGGGGGCAGCGCGGATGTGTGTGTGAGCGTGTGAGCGCGTGGCTGACAAAGGCTCTGGGCTGCGGGGAGAGGAGGGAGGGGAGGGGCGGGTCCGTGGCGCCTGGGGACCCAGGATGCGGTTTGCAGCTGGCTCCGGCCAGAGGCCTGTAGACGCCTCCCCCTGCTCTATGGCGCCTGGGGCCTGGGGTAGGACGCAGGCCACTGAGGCTAGGGAAGGGGTGTCTCACCCTCTGCGAGCATCTATAGGAACCAGCCTTTGGGATGGGTTGGGGGTCTGTAGAACAACCGGGTTCTAGTCCCCGGTTTGCCCCTCCTGTGCTTTATGTGTGACCTTGGGCCAGTCTCAGCTTGTGTTTAGGTCTGTTTCCCAGTTTGTGAGGTAGTTGATTCCTGGGCCCTTTGGGGATGGAATTCCAGTCTGCTCTCTCCCCTCCCCCAGTTCTCAGGATCTCCCAGGAGGGACTCTCCCTAGACTGAGCCGCCCTTAGGTGGGGATGGTGCAGCCTTGGAGGAAAGGACTCTGGCCAGACTGACATAGGTCGGGGCCCCTTGCTGGAGGAGAGCTGTGACGGTATCCCTGGCATTCTGATCCAGACCTGCCTAACCACAGCTTTGTAAATCTGGAACTACCAAAAAAAAAAAAAAAAAAAAAAGTAGGAGGAATTTTGGACAGACTTTAAAGAGAACTTTGTGGTGACAGAAAGAAGCGCCAGGGCAGAAAGCAGGTGCTGCCTGGGTCCCTTTCTCTGGGCCTCTGTCTCCGGCTCTGTGGATGGGGGTTTTGCGTCCAGTGGAAGGGAAGAACTCTAATGGGAGGGTTAGAGCTCTTCCCCTCCCCCACTCTTGCTTTCCAAACCTTTGGCTCTGTGGGGTGGACTCTCCCCAGGAGGCCTCTGTGCTCTTCGAGCAGGAATACTGAGTATGGCCCAAGTGTGCCAGCCTGTCACACATGTTCCTGCCTGGGACCTGGTAGATCAAGTGCCACCCTAAGGTGGCAGAAGTCTGAGAACACTGGGGCCCTACAGTCGGTGCAAAATAGACCTCTGTGTACGGCCCAGAGGTCGTACCAAGGCCCAGACGGCCGGAGAGCGCACGAGAGGATGGCATTACATCTACCAGTTAAACTCGCCCAGGACGAAGTTTTCCACCCTTTCTCAGCGGACCAATGGATGGTGCTCCTTCTGGCGCTGTAACACTTCCCAGCTTGTTGTTTCCCAGCCCCAGACCACCCCCTCTGATGTTCTTAAGGAAGCTGACTCTACCAGGGGCTGAGGGGGAGAGGGTGGGATCAGGGAGGTCTGGTGCTTATCTGCCCCCACCCCAACTTGGGTGGGCTGGGGTGACAGAGTCAGAATTTCAGAATGGGGGAAGAAGATAGGAAATTTCTGGTGACTCGGTAAGGGGGGATGGGGAGCAGTGGCCAAGAGGGGTGTGGGCAGTAGGGAGGAAGGCCCGGAAAGCCCTGTGCAAACAGCAGCCTGGGTTGTGCATCCCTCCCTTTCCCAGCCGGGCCAGAGCTTGTGCACCGCCCCGCCTACAACACACAACGTACACAATTTCCTCTCCGGATAGGCCTGGCTCTCTCTCCCTCGCTTTATGGTAGATTTCCCCCACACTCCTCTGGCCCTGAGTTCAGTTTTTAGGAAGATTTACTGTCTCTATGGCAACTACAAAGGCTTGATGGTCTTGGGGTGGGGCAGGGGCAGGCTCATTCCGGGCCAAATCCACCTGCTGCTGGCTGGCCCAGCTGAAGGAGAGGGAGGATGCTGACAGCCCACTGCTCAGTCACTTTGATGTTCTCACCCCCAAAAACCTCACACTCTGGTCCTGGGTGCCTCCTCATTAAAGGGAATCCCCTCTCTCTCCCTTTAAATCTGTCCTATGAATTTCCGTCTTTACGGTATAGATCAGCTCTGTCCAAAAGGAATAGAATGAATGCAAGCCCCATTTTTAATTAAACATTTCTAGTAGCCACATTAAAAAGGTAAAAAGAAATAAGTCAAGTGAATTAATAGGTATTATTCAACCCAATGTACCCAACATATTTCAACATGTAGTCGATATAAAAGTTATGAATGAGATATTTTGCCTTCTTTTCCACACTGAGTTCTGACTCTGTGTATGTTTGACATTTATAGCGCGTGTCAGTTCAGACAAATCGCATTTCAGGTGCTCAGCAGACACTGTGGGTTCACTGCAGTGGGCGGTCCAGCTCTAGAGTCTTTGATGCCAGAGTTTGGATCCAGGCTTTTCAGCTACCAGCTGTGTGACCTTGAGGGTGTTGCTTGAGCCTTCCAGGTGATCATTTCCTCCCTTCCACCTCCTGGGTTGTGTGGAGCAATTGGGACTCTTAGACCTTTGGGATAAGGCCAGACTCTTAGGAGAGCTTCACAAATGTCAGCTGCCTTCTCTTCCATGCCTTTGTTCAAGCCATGCCCGGCCACGACGCCCTGCCCACTTTTCTCTGTTTCGGACAGTCTCTCTGAGGACACCTTTCCGAACCTCTCCCTCCGCCACCAGGGCTGGTCTGCATCCTGGGAACGACAGTAGGTTCTGCCTCTGCCCTAGCATTCCCAGCGCCACCCAGTGATCCAGCTAATTAAGGCCTCTCCTCCCTGCCCTGAGAACCCCCTGCAGGCAGCAGGCCTTGGGGCAGGGGAGGAGGGCCAGGCTTCCGCTCCTGCTTTCCTTCCCGAACATTGCTTCGGTTGGATGAAATTGAGGTAGCCCAGAAACCAACCACCTCTGGACTCTTCCCCCCACCTCCTTGTGCGATGGGGGCACCGATGCCTGGAGAGTGCAGGCACTTGTCCAAGGTCACACGGCAGAGCGCAGTCGAACCAGAATCCCCCAGCACAGTGTTTTCTTGGTGGAAGAGGGGACATGACCCCTGCTTCTGGCCTAGACGCTCAGAAGCCAGACTGGCCATACTCTATATCTACGCTGATGAATTTCAGCTCAGTCTGACAGAGGCAGTCTGACCTCCTCTGGGGTGAGTGGCCTCTGCTCCCATGGCCCCTAGCAGCCTGGCAGCCAGCCTGTCTTCATTCTGCATCCACCTGTGGCTGCCAGGTTAGGAGAAGGAGGGAGCCCCTCAGGTGAATGACCCAGGTGCCCTCTTCCCAGCTCTGCTTCTTGGTGCCAGGGTTGCCTCTGCCCCTGGGCTCCCATTCTCCCATCTGTAAAATGGAAGCAGAGCTGAGGGTGTGGGTAGCCGCCTTCTGCTTCTGGAACCAGGCTCTGCAAGAGGGGGTTGGTGCTGGCCCTGTGCATGGTTGGAGAATGACTGTTTGAGAGCTGGGATCCTTCTCGAGCTTCTCTGGGTACCTGTTCCTTCCCAAGTTCTTTCCCTTTGACCCAGCCCATGGCAGATTGGCGCTTGAAACTGAGTGGGGCGGGGGCTGGTGCGGAGAGGCAGAACCCTGCCCTGGGGGAGTACTTGTCTGCCACAGAAGCTGAGACCGGTATCCGTGGCAACCACTCACTAACACAAACCCAGAAGGGTAGCTGAACATAGGGACCCAGCCAAGAACACAAGCCTGGCAGGGACTGGGGGCTTCCCCAGACACCTGAGCTGGGTACAGGAGAGGGCTGCCAGGCTGCGTGTTCTGGCTCCTTCTTTTCTGTTTGTCTGCCTGGTTGAGTCTGTACAGAGCTGACAGATGAGGAAATGGAGGCCCAGGGTCTTTTACAGGATCACCTGTGTGGGTAGAGGCCAAGTTAAATCTCACCTTTGCCGCTCTCTCTGGATAAGGATAGCCAATACCACCTCCATATCGTCCCCTCGGGTGGCCCTCCACATGGTAACTATCAAGAACGGTCTGCAGGGCAGGGTGTCCCAGGGCCGCATTCCAAAGCACCTGCCTGGCAGGTCAGCCCCCAGGTGAACCGCAGGCCAGCCTGGAGTGCCAGCACCCTAATGACTCACTGCCAGCTGCCCATTTCCTTGATCCTTGTTCCTCCTCAGGCATCTTGCAGTTGGTTTCGCCAGCCCCTCGGGCAGTGCTGTTGACCTATCCGAGGAAGTACCTTGAAACTCACTACTGGGCTGGGACCCAGGGCCATCTGATGTCCCAGCCCGTGCCTCAGTTTCCCATTTCATAAGCGCTGCGGGAAGGCTGCAAGGCTGTAGGTTACGGCCTGATCTGCGAGTAAGGTTGCCCAGTCAGAGCTGCTCAGACAGGAAGGAGCTCTGTATCCCTGCCCCAGAAAGGAAGTGGCTTTTGTTTCTGCCCAAGTGTGAACTCCTGAAATCCTGAGCGTAGAAAGCGAGTGATAGTAGGGAGGCAAAGAAGAAGCTGGTATGAGATCCCCAGGCTGGGGCGGGGGCTCCCTGCTGGGCTCCCTGTTGGGCTCTGACTGCCTCCTGGGCTGAGCGCCTGGCTTTGCCAAACTTGCTGTGTGACCCGATGCAGATGCTGACCCTCTCTGACCTCTGAATCCACAATAGGTGATTTTGCTTCTCTCTTTTTGCGGTCAGTGTCTTGCTCCTGAAGGTGGTGTGGGGCACTGC